GCAGAAATGGACCTTTCAAATTAAAAGCGGGGGTCTTATCTTGCTGAGTGGATGAAAGACTAAAGGAGACGTAACGGTGTTGATGACACATAAACGATGGTGCGATTTTGCTCATATGAACCTTTTACTTTGGGTTAACAGAGGACGCTGAGCCTCCAGCAGCTATGACGCAACATAATAATTTATCAAATGTTTATTAAATATTTCATTGATGTTAAAATAATTATTCAGTAATGTTTAGTTACCAGTTTATTGGGAAAAGAAACAAAGAAAGCAGAAATGCGGAGATTCAGTCGTTGGTGTGACTCAGGTTTCCCATTATCTGTCAGGCCGGCTGACATCATCCTTCCTGTTTATGCATCGCGATCTCTCACGCTACAGATCGCAGAGATACCTGACGATGAAGGCGATCAGGAGGAAGCTGTGTTATCTGTACCTGTTCTCCGTCCACTCCGCTCAGCCCGTCCTCTCCGTCTTCGCCCTGCGGCGGTGGAAGAAAAATCTTCTGTGAGACTTTATCAGGATGTGAGTGTTTGTGCTTCCTCCTACATTCCTGAGTAACTCACCCTTTCTCCTCGCAGCCCTCTGAAGCCCTGCAAACACACAAACGCACACACATCAGCAACATCGGCTTCTGGCAGATCTGCTCCGGGACATTTTGGCGGCACGGCTCTACCTTCTGTCCTCTGATTCCTGAGCATCCCTGGAGTCCCTGAGGTCCGCTCGGTCCAGGTAAACCCCTCCCGCCCTGCAACACACAGACAGAGTGAGCAGCGACGCAGCGAAAGACGCAGATGATGGTTTAGGATTCACGTTTGAGCAGCTGGCAGACAGAGTGACGCTATTGGTCCGTTTTGACTCACAGAGACGACTTTCACAGATGTTTATTTAAACGTCTTTTTTGTCCTCAACAACACTTCAAAGTGACGTAAAACTGCAGAGAAAGACTCATGATGGAGACGCTGACACAACAAATATATTTTCCAGCAGCATATCTTCTGAGAGTAACCAGAGACGCTGTTGGTTTGAAGATGATGAGGCATGTGTGCAGATGATGTGTATGAAGCGAATGAAGAAGCACTTACAGCGAGGCCCTCCTCTCCGGGGAAGCCGGGGTGACCCTTCTGCCCAACCGCGCCCTGTTTTTAAAAATACAGGTGACGGTTCAGAAAAAAGGAGAAGAGAAACCTTCAAAGGCCAGAAAGACAGACAGCTCAATGCTTCCTAATGTTCGCCTGCTGCTTCACTAAGTCTGAGTAAGGTTTGAAAAACCCCCAGGAAGCATCCAGTTCTGCCCCCTTTCCTGTTTTTCCTTCTTCTTTTTCCTCTTTCAAATATTTTCTCTTCTATATACTAATCCGACATTCCTCTGCCCCCCCTCCCTGTGTAACAGTATATCTTTAACACTGCTCCTGCTTCACTTTGAAATATAAACCCGGCCACTTTCTAACTATGAAAGCGTCTGTTTGCTCTCAGAGCAGTCTGGCCTCTTTAATGCTTCTGGCACAGTCTCTGTTATTCTGTTTGGACTTAAAAGGCGTGAATATTTCAGTTCACCTTTGACCCCGGGGGGCCCCGAGAGCCACGGATGCCTTCATGTCCTGAACATTTGCACATGACGCCGCAGCACTCCCTGTTTGACACGGTGTCCTGCAGAGAGAAAGAGACACACGCTTTTTAAAGATTAAGTTAAAGAAACAGGAAATCGGAGGTTTATCTGTCCATGAGGCCAGATAACACACACAGAGTAAAGATGGACCTCATCTGCATAGCAGTGTAAATGTCTAAGGGAAGCATGTATAATGTAAACAGAATTGGTCCTAGCACTGAACCCTGTGGAACTCCATAATTAACCTCAGTGTGTGAAGAGGACTCTCCATTTACATG